CCTACAGCTATCACTAACTATGCTAGACAAGGGTAGGCTGTGTCAAGGAGACCAGAATTCCCCTGCACTCACTGAATTGAATTTTGGGCGTATAATCACCTCTGTTCTCATATAAATGAAGTCACTAGAAAGGCAAGTAATGTTAATATAAAAAGAAAAGGAAACAGTAGAAAAAGGATTCTGAACTGCATTTCGATTTCATTATAGCTGAACCAGAAATAAGTCTTAATTGAGTCTAGACTGCAGATTTCTACCTGCAGAGCAAGTGGCAAGACTTGTCATGCTCAGTATTTCCCCTTGTGTTGGAAAGTTCACAGAGCTATCTGCCTCCAGTCTCCTTCTTTAGGGTGCCAGTTGGGCAAAAAAGAACCATTAATTTATTGAGTATTTGTATGTATATTTTAAGAATGATATCTTTTAGCATTTAAGTAGAAAAATACCTGCTGTATTCATTTTAAATAATGTTTATTGTTGTTGTTGTTTTGAGACGGGGTTTTGCTCTTGTTGCCCAGGCTGGAGTGCAGTGGTGCGTTCTTGGCTCACTGCAACCTCCACCTCCCAGGTTCAAGTGATTCTCCTGCCTCAGCCTCCCGAGTAGCTGGGATTACAGGCATGTGCCACCACGCCCAGCCAATTTTATATTTTTAGTAGAAATAGGGTTTCTCCATGTTGGCCAGGCTGGTCTTGAACTCCCCACCTCAGGTGATCCACCTGCCTCAGCCTCCCAAAGTATTGGGATTACAGGCATGAGCCACCATGCCCGGCCTTAAATAATGTATTACATAGTAATGCATGGATATATTTTTATTGTAAGAAAACTAAAATATTAAAGATTAAAGACTAAAATCCTTTGTGATCAACCACCCATGCCATTTCTCCTCCCCAGAAGTAACCACATATCAATTATATATAGCAACATGTATCAGTAATGGTAGGTGAGGTTATGCTGTAATGTCAAATATCCTCAAAGTCTCAGTGTCTTATAATAGCAAGAATTTATGTCTTTTTTTGTTTGTTTGTTTTTTGAGACAGGGTCTCACTCTGTCTTCCAGTCTGGAGTGCAATGGCATGATCATGGCTCACCATAGCCTTGACCTCCTGGGCTCAGGTGATCCTCCCACCTCAGCCTCCCAAGTAGCTGGGACTACAGGTGTGTGCCACAACACCCATCTAATCTTTTATGTTTTTTTTGTGGAGATGAGGTTTCACCATGTTGCTCAGGCTGGTCTTGAACTCCAGGGCTCAAGCAATCCATCCACCGCAGCCTCCCAGAGTGCTGGGATTACAGGCCTGAGCCACTGTGCCCAGGCTAAAAATGTATATCTTGATTGCATGTTTGTCATAGGTTGCATTCAGCTGTATCTATGGACACAGCTGGAAGAAGCAGCCAGAACATGCTGATTTCAGGGCAGAAGAAAAAGAGAGAATGTGGGAACCTCTTAAAGCTTCTGCTTGGATGTCTCGCATGTCACTTCCACTTATATTCCCTTGGCCAAAGCACATCGTATGGCTATGCCTGACTTGTGTGGGTGGGGATGTAGAATCCTTCCATAGGGCGAGTCAGTAAAAAAATTTCCATACTTTTATAGAGTATGTAAAACTAAAAATAGGTATCGTTTTTATATAATTTATTAGGGTACTGAATCTTACTTTCCTCGTGCAAAAACGTGTCTTAGAAGTCTTTCCATGTTATACAAATAGATCCATCTCTTTTTAATTTAATTTTGTAATTTTTTTAAACTCAGGGCAGATGTCACCATCTCCTTTTTATTATTTGTTTAATATTTGTTTATTTATTTATTGAGACAGAGTCTTGCTCTGTCACCCAGGAGTGCAGTGGCACTCAATCTTGGCTCAGTGCAACCTCTACCTCTCCTGGGTTCAAGTGATTCTTCTGCCTCAGCCTCCTAAGTAGCTGGGATTACAGGCGCCTGCGAGCACACCCAGCTAATTTTTTTTTTTTGTATTTTAGTGGAGATGGGGGTTTCACTGTGTTGGCCAGGCTGTTTTCAAACTCCTGACCTCAAGTGATCCCCCCGCCCTTGGCCTCCCAAACTGTTAGAATTACAGGGGTGAGCCATTGTGCCCCACTAATTCTTCCATTTCTTATTTGAGAATGTCAAAAAATTTATCTCCAGTCAGCCAGTGGAACGTTGCATTTTATTTATTTTTTAATGGTTTGCGACCCATAAAATAATTCATACATTATTTCAACATGAATGGCCAAAATGTATTGATTATTGCAGCTGGATGGCAGGAACAGCCTAGGTCACAGGTGGGTGGATAACAGACAAAACTATTTTTACTCTCTTTTCTTTTTTCTTTTTGAGACGGAGTCTTGCCCTGTCACCCAGGCTGGAGTGCAGTGGCAGAATAGTGGCTTACTGCAACCTCTGCCTCTTGGGTTCAAACAATTCTCCTGCCTTAGCTTCCCAAGTAGCTGGGATTACAGGCACCTGCCACCACACCCAGCTACTTTTTGTATTTTTAGTAGAGATAGGGTTTCACCATGTTGGCAAGGCTGGTCTCGAACCCCTGACCTCATGCTCCATTCGCCTTTGCCTTCCAAAATGCTGGGATTACAGGCATGAGCCACCACGCCTGGCCGCATTTTTGCTCTCTAAATTCCTCTTCCACTACCCTATCACTGATTTTGTCTACCTTCCAGCCGTCTCCCTTATTTGAGCAGCAATGCATGGGGAATAAGTAGTGGGCTCTGCAGTGCGTACCACCCAGACCCCTCCCCAGGGGACCCCTCCCCAGGATAGGGCATTTATTACATCAGCTGCTGGGAGCATTGGCTACTGTCAGCTCTCAGCTGAGTCCCTATGACTGTTCAATGTGGACATTCCAACATCCTGTCCTCTTGCCATCCCAGCTCCATATTCCCCATGGCATTAGCTGAGGCTTCTGCTGAGGCTCTACTGCAGTTTGACTTTTCCCTTCCACAGATGCGATCCTGACAGCACTCTGCAGTAGGCTTCCTGACTGCAACTCTCCATCCTGGAGTCTGATTCCAGGGGACCTGGCTCACAACAGCCCACCACAGGCTCTGAAGTCAGACAGAACTGGGTTTCAGTCTTATCCCAAACACCAACTAGATATGTAACCCTAGAGATGGTAAGTCCATTGTATACCTTGTATGCCTCAGGTTTTTAATATATAAAAATGCAATAATAATAGTACAGTAAGTCCTCACTGAATGTTGATAATTTCTTAGAAACTCCAACTTTAAGTGAAATAATGTATAAGGAAGCCATTTTCCCCTCATAATCATAATGGAAAGGACATTACTTGAGGACATGCTGCACATCATTTTACTTAAAGTCAAAGTTTCCAACAACCCATCAATGAAGTTAAGTGAGAATTTACTATATACACTTCTTGCAGTTACTGAGGATGAAATCACACATGTAAAGCACAGAGCACATGCTAGGTGCTCAAAACAGGTGCCAGCATGTTAATAGTAGTATTACGTTAAACCTATAGTCTTAATGGAGTAATTGGAAGAGCCAGGGCAGAGGAGATGGAGAGATTTTGCTAAAATTTGTTCCCCTTTTCCCCTCCTTGCCTGCATTTCCAGTGCCCTCATGCCCGGCTAAAGCAGAAATAGACCTGTTGTGTTAACTTGTTTCCAGAAGATGGCGCCAGGAGATAATGCTACAATCCAGTCCCTTTTAGGAACAATTTTCTTTTCTTTCTATTTTTTGAGCTGGAGTCTCTGTCTCCCAGGCTGGAGTACAATGGTGCGATCTCGGTTCACTGCAACCTCTGTCTCCCAGGTTCAAGCGATTCTCCTGCCTCAGCCTCCCAAGTAGCTGGGATTACAGGCATGTGTCACCATACCTGGCTCATTGCTGTGTTTTTAGCAGAAAGAAGGTGTCACCATGTTGGCCAGGCTGGTCTTGACCTCCTGGCCTCAAGTGATCCACCCACCTCAGCCTCCCAGAGTGCTGAGATTACAGGTGTGAGCCACCATAACTGGCCAGGAACAATTTTCACTATTCACAGATTACATATCAACTTCACATGTGTTATCTTACTTGATTCTCTTTCACCAACCATTTACCAAATGCTGATTATTCCATCATTTATTCTCTCATTCCTTCACAACAAATGTTTACTGAGCACTTGCTCTAGCCAAGAGCATCTTTAAATGCCTTCTCAAACATGATGACTAAGAAACAAAAAAGGAGATAGAATTCTAAACCCCTGCTGGAGAGCTGGACTTTCCAGAGATGAATAAGACAACCTCTAGCCACTGATTTCTTTCTGGTTCTGGATTGATGTCAACTCATGCTCTGGAAGGAGGCTACTTTAAAAAGCAGATGAAGCTTAATTCAAGTGAAACTAAGTCAGAAAGAAAATGACTCCCCCGTAGGAGCAGCTGGGGTGCATCTCAGAGACTGTCCACAGTACTTCCCAAGGGCTATTGATCTGAGAGCAGAGCATTTGGTCCCTGGACTGGTGAAAATTGCTGAGCAGGTGAAAGAAGAACAAAATCCATAAAGGGAATGGAGAAAAGATGTTGAAGGGCTCCAGTGGAGGGAAGGTTAGCTGGACTGCATTCAGGAGCTCCAGACAGAGGGGACTCTGCAGGTCCTTGAGCTTCGCAGGCAAGCCCACAAGCAAACCTGGAAACCACAAGACCGGGGCCTGGTGATCTATTTATATGGTGGGGATAGAGGGGCTCCCCCTCAGCCTTCTCACACTCTCTCCAGAACTGTGACAGGGTGAGCTTACCTGAAGATCACCTCAGCAGTGCAGTTTTACAGGCGTCAAGAAAGGCTGCTTCTATGGGTGAAATATCTTTTAACAATCAGTCTATGTCTGGTACCCCAAATGGCACCACTAGTGTCCTTTTTTTCTTTTTTTTTTTTTTCTTTCTTTTTCTTTTTTTTAAAGACAGTCTCATTCTCTCACCCAGGTTGGAGTACAGTGGCGTGATCTCAGCTCGCTGCAACCTCTGCCTCCTGGGTTCAAACGCTTCTCCAGCATCAGCCTCCCGAGTAGTTGGGACCACAGGTTTGTGCCACCATGCCAGGTTAAGTTTTCTATTTTTTGTAGAGATGAGGTTTCACCATGTTGGCTAGGCTGGTCTCCAACTCCTGACCTCAAATGATCTGCCCATCTCAGCCTCCCAAAGTGCTGGGATTAAGGCATGAGCCACTGTGCATGACCCATTAGTGTCCTTTAATATGAATATTGCAGGAGTTAAGAACAGGACTTCTTTATAGAAATGTATAATTATACTGGTTTGGAGAAAAGTCTGTAAATGTACACATCAGTTGTTAATAGGGGTTATCATGAGTCAGAAAATGTGGAATGAGTAAGGAAGATTAATGGAGTTTGGAAAAGTAAGAGGAAAAGGATAGGTAAGAAAAAAAAATCACTGGATTTCCAACTTTCTGAAATCTCCTCCCACATGGTGGGAGCTCCCTCTGGGATTTCCCCTCTGGAATCCCCTTCTACACTCTTTGTGGAAGCCTTTCTCTTCTCCTTTCCTTCTCTTTTCTCTGCCTAAATAAAATCACCTTTCTGCAACAGCAACAACAAAAAATAATATTTAAAAAGTGTCCTCTTGACTAAAAGAATGTGTATTATTTGTTTTGATTTATGAAAATGGTTATTTCTATTGCCCATGTACATTAAGACAGGCATGAAAGATGCCCATTAAAATGTTAACAGAAGTTGTCATATGCTCATGAGATTTCAAAGACTGTTACTTTCTTCCTTATAACTTTATATATTTAAATTTTTTATAGGGAGCATTTAAATCAGGAAAGTGGGAAAAAACAAAATTAAGAACATTATTGCAAGCCAAATGAGAAAAACAGTAACACAGCTGAGCCATCCAAATTCTAATTTCTCTGTTCCATGACTGTGTGACTCTAAACGAATTACTTAACTTCTCTGATCCTCAGTTTCTTCCTCTTTAATTTTTAATTTATTTTATGAGACAGTGCACTAGTCAAGTTTCTCTAGCAGGACAGAACTAATAGGATAGATGTATATATGTAAGGGAGTTTATTATGGAATATTGACTCACATGAGTTTTGTTGAAAGCATATAGAGAAGATTATAGAGTCACAGGAAAACTAAACTCAGAGATTGAGAAGCCAGGCATGGTGTCTACATTCACATCAACAGAATTGGCCCAGGGACACTGCTGGCCTTCTGGCTCCAGACACCCAGTGCTGCCCATAACCCCACTGGATTATTGTTTCCGGAACTTGATCTTACTCTCCCACCACACCTTCCAGAGAACAGTCTCCATATGAGTTTGAAAATTGAAGTCCATGGCAGATGCACCTGATGGGCAACGGCTAAGTCACACACTGATGTCTGCCATGCAAGGGGGACATGGCATTTTGTGCCTCTGCAGAATTGAACTCTGGGTTCCAAGGAGTTTAATGAAATAGGTAATTCCCTTACACACAGGAAGTGGATTCAGATGCATCCAGCTGGTGACAAAGGCTGACTAGCTGGATACTCACAGTAAAATTCTTGAAATCTCAGTACCCAAGTTTCCCTGTCTGCAAGATGGAAATTATATTAGTACCTTCCTCAAAATATTATTCACAGGATTAAAAGGATTAATTGTAAAATTCTTACGATATCATCTGTATAATGGTTTAATGAATGCTAGATCTGATTTTTCAGTTACATGAACCTTTTGGCTTAAACTATTTGAGATTTGGTAGTTACTTTTTTTTCTATTTGCAACTTACTGTTCTAACTAATGTGAGGACTAATGATACACAGGATTGTTGTAAAGCTGGAGTGAGAAAATCTATGTAAAGTTCTTGGTACATGGTGGATATGGTTTGGCTGTGTCCCCACCCAAATCTCATCTTGAATTGTAGCTCCTGTAATTCCCGTGTGTCATGGGAGGGACCTAGTGGGAGGTAATTGAATTATGGGAGCAGGTTTTTTTCCATGCTGTTCTTGTGATATAAGTCTCATGATATCTGACGGTTTTGTAGGGGAGTTCTTCTGCACATGCCCTCTTGCCTGCTGCCATATAAGAGGTGACTTTGCTGCTCCTTATTCACCTTCTGCCGTGATTGTGAACTGTGAGTCAATTAAACCTCTTTCCTTTATAAAATATCCAGACTCAGGTATGTCTTCATTAGTAATGTGAGAACAGACTGATATATATGGGAAGCTCTCAGTAAATAATATTAATATCTACTTATTACTGGTATTAATACTGTTACTACTAATTAATGATTTTTATGATCTTCTCTTATGTAACTGCTAAGACCAAAGTTTTGTAAGAGGTACCTGAAAGGGCAGTCCAGGGAGGGGTTTTGAGTATTTGGAGTTTACCAGAGGTATCAGGACACCAAAGAGAAAGAACACTGAGGAAGGAAATGGACTTACAGATAAACTCAGAAAATAGTTTTTGAACAGATGATGAAGAAGATAAAAGAATAAAAGATCAAAGAGCCTCCTTCTTCTAGTAGCAAGAGTTATATTCACTGTGAGGGACCTACTCTGAGCCACATACTGTGCTAGCTCTCAGAGCTACAGAGATAATACGAAGCATTGTATCTGTTTACTTTTTTTTGAGACAGGATCTGGCTCTGTTGCCCAGGCTGAATGAAGTGGAGCGATCATGGTTCACTGTAACCTCAACCTCCCTTACTCAAGCAATCCTCCCACCTCACCCTCCCAAGGAGCTGGGACCACAGATGGGTGCCACACCCAGCTAATTTTTTTGGAATTTGTTTGTTTGTTTGGTAGAGATGAGGTCTCACTGTGTTTCCCAGGATTGTGTCAAACTCCTGGGCTGAAGCGATCTTTCACCTAAGCCTTTCTTTTTTCTTTGAGACAGAGTCTTGCTCTGTTGCCCAGGCTGGAGTGCAGTAGCGCAATCTCAACTCACTGCAGCCTCCGCCATCTGGGTTCAAGAAATTCTCCTGTTTCAGCCTCCTGAGGAGTTGAGACTACAGGCACATGCCACCACGCCTGGCTAATTTTTGCATTTTTAGTAGAGACAGTTTCAACATATTGGTCAGGCTGGTCTCAAACTCCTGACCTCAGGTGATCCACCCACCTCAGCCTCCCAAAGTGCTGGAATTACAGGTGTGAGCCGCTGCACCTAGCCTCCACCTCAGCGTTTCTAAGTGCTGAGATTGCAAGTGTGAGCCACTACATTTGGCCTGTATCTGTTTTTAAGAAGTTTTCAGCCTGGTGCAAGGGCAGAAAGCCCAGGTACCTATAGGTTCTAGTCTGGTAACATAAACAGGGAAGTGGGCCAGGTGTGAGAAAGAACATGAGTAAAGGCTTCATTTTCTTACCGTAAGAAGGAACAGTATTTCGACAATGATGACAAATGGCTCCTGACATGAGACTTTAATGTCAGAGAGACAGTAGGGCATGGCAGGGACTATGAAGAAATGGAAAAGGCATGCTCTATCCAAAAGGGACTGCTGCTATGAGAGCTGGACCCATGTTGCTGGATTTCCAGTTTTTTTGGTTTTTTTTTTTTTTTTTGAGACAGCGTTTCGCTCTTGATACCCAGGCTGGAGTGCAATGGCGTGATCTCGGCTCACCGCAACCTCGGCCTCCTGGGTTCAGGCAATTCTCCTGCCTCAGCCTCCTGAGTAGCTGGGATTACAGGCACACACCACCATGTCCAGCTAACTTTTTGTATTTTTAGTAGAGACGGGGTTTCGCCATGTTGATCAGGATAGTCTCGATCTCTTGACCTCGTGATCCACCCGCCTCGGCCTCCCAAAGTGCTGGGATTACAGGCTTGAGCCACCGCACCCGGCTCAGTTTGTTAAGAGAAGCCGGAAATCTGGATTTTTATGTGAAATCTCTTAATTTTTAGTTTCTGGAGATGAATGCAAACAGCTCAAAAACACCATGTGGCCCCAAATGGAGCAGGCCAAAAAAAGCAGGATTCTGTCTGAACGCCAGACCTGAGTCTGAGGGTCCAGTGTGTGATCTGCTGTCCACTGGGAGAGACAGATGGGTGTAGGGGCAATTTAGATGCAGTTTGATAAGTACAAAGACAGAAAGATGTGGTGTGATGTGCAGAAGAAGAGCTGGAGGGGCTTTGAGGAGGAGGCCTAGAGGAGGACTCAGGTAGGTCAAAAACAGTGTCTGAGTTGGCACTGGGGTCCGGCAGTACAGTCAGAGGCAACAGCACAGGGGACTGCAGTGGGTCTGGAACCCAGTGGGCTGGCAAAGCTCAGATGCAGGTGAGGAACGGGAGCCGAGCTGGGGAGGTGGGCAGGGCCACATGGAGCATAGCCTTGACCGAACTGTCAGTCTGTTCATAAAATCTGTGATTTTCCTGGTTGTAATTTCTGCTCCTTTTGATAGAAAACGAGAGGTTGTTTCTGTGCCCCCAAAACAAACACTTCCTGTAATTAAAAGAAGCTCTTTCAGCTATTGAAGTTGGCAACAGCCCTCCCACCTCCCTCCATTCCTTCCCCTCACTCCCCCTCATCTGTGTCACATTCTCAGCCCCGTGATATTCAAGAAAATAAATACTTTTGACCTTTGTCAGAACACCTTGGACCTGCCAGAACAAAAAGAAACAAAGTGCACAGGAGGAAATGTTTCCATTCTTCCCAAATCGCTCCCTTTTCTCTATGTCCAAAGCCAAGTGTAGTCAATGATTCAGAGACGGCAGGGGAGGCCAGCAGGGTCCTGCGCTGGATGTCAGGAGCCAGTTCGAGTCCTGGTCTTGCAGACTGATTCCTTGTGTGGCTATGGATAAGACTGAACCCCACGTGCTCAATGGTCAGGAAAGCAGTAGGTCCAATGGTTTCCAAGAATCTGCAGTCTCTGCTCTTCCATCAGGACTTGGATCTGGTCCTGACATCAGTTTGAGCCTCGTCCCTGTAGCCCATACCTCTAGCCATGTGCCAGCTGCTCTGCCAAGTTCTATCCGTACATAATTTCACTTAATCCTCACACAAGTTCAGGAAGTGGAGAGTATCACCCCACCTTATAGAAAAGAAAGCTGAAGCTCAGGGAAGTTAAGCAATGGCAATTTTTTTTTTTTTTTAAGATGGAATCTTGCTCTGTCACCCAGGCTGGAGTGCAATGGCGTGATCTTGGCTCACTGCAAACTCTGCCTTCCGGGTTTAAGCAATTCTCCTGCCTCAGCCTCTAGAGTAGCTGGGATTCCAGGCGCCTGCCACCACCCCCAGCTAATTTTGGTATTTTTAGTAGAGACGGGGTTTCACAATGTTGGTTAGGCTGGACTCAAACTCCTGAGCTCAGGTGACTGCGCCCAGCAATTTTCCCACATGAAAGCTTGTATATATGACCTCAGAGACTACACTATTTGAGTTCGGGTGTGGTGGCTCATGACTGTAATCCCAACACTTTGGAGGCAGAGGCAGGTGTATCACCTGAATTCAGGAGTTTGAGACCAGCCTGACCAACATGGCGAAACCCCGTTTCTGTTAAAAATACAAAATTACCTGGGCGTGGTGGCACATTCTTGTAATCCCAGCTACTTGGGAGGCCGAGGCAGGAGAATCGCTTGAACGTGAGAGATGGAGGTTGCAGTGAGCCAAGACTGCTCTACTGCGTTCCAGCCTGGACAACAGAGTGAGACTCTGTCTCAAAAAAAAAAAGACTATATTATTTTCCAACTTCAGTACCACTCCCTGGAGACTACCTCTTTTAATCATTTTGATTTTCTCCTTAAATATAAACAACAGTGCCATGGTCTGAATATTTGTATTGCCTTAAAATTCATATGTTGAAATCCTAGCCTCCAAGGTGATGGTATGAAAAAATGGCTTTATAAAAGAGGCCTGAGTGAGACCTCTTGACCTTTCACCATGTAAAGACACAGTAAAAAGGTGCTGTCTATGAATCAGAAAGAAACTCTCACCAGACACTGAATCTGCAAGCATCTTGATCTTAGACTTCTCAGCCTCCAGAACTGTGAGAAATAAATTTCTATTGTTTAGAAGCCACCCAGTTTATGATATTTTGTTATAGCTGCCTGTCTTAGTCCATTTGTGTTGCTATAAAAGAATACTAGAGGCTGGGTTTATTTCGGCTCATGGTGTCAGTATCTGTGTCTGGTGAGGTCTTCAGGCTGCTTCTACTCATGCAGGAAGGCAGAGAGGAACCGGCGTGTGCAGAGATCACGTGGGGAGATATGAACCAAGAGAGAGGGGGAGGGTCATAGGCTCTTTTTAACAACTGGGGAACTAATAGAGCAAGATAACACCAAACCATTCATGAGAGATCCTACCCAAAACCCAAACAACTTCTATTAGCACCCCCTCCAACACTGGGTACTACATTTCAACCTGAGATTTAGAAGAGTCAAACAAATCGTGTCCAAACTATAGCACAGCTGGGATTACAGGCATGAGCCACCGGGCCCAGCCAATGTACTTTAATATGAATGATTTATTTTGTAATCCTATGTATACAATTTTATTCGTTTAAAAAATATTGTGCTAAGAAGGCATCCTTGAGCTCCACCAGACTACAAAGGGTTAAGAACATCTATAATAATGCAGCTTCTGTTCTTCCTCTTCTGTTATTTTTTAATTAAAAAAATTTTTTTTTTGGTAGAGATGAAGTCTTGTTCTATTGCCCAGGCTGGTCAAGCACTCCTGAGCTTTTTAATTCAGTCCCTGTTCCTTGGTCCCAGGGCTTAGGTTCCCCCTGTGGTTGTACGTTTGGTTCACCTGGGCATGTTTAGGTTATGTGACCTTCAACCTGGGAATCCATGGTAACAGAAAACAATTCACAACTTCATTGCATAAAAGTTAAGCCACATCCCTCTAGTGCAGCTACAGGAGTATTTACCTTAGTGTTAAAAGGATTAAGAGATATGATGCAAATAAAGTGCTTAGAACTGTGTTGGCATGTAGATACTCAACAAATATTAGCTAATATTCATTCCAAGCTTCCAAGGAGGCTAGAAATAAAAAAATTCAGCAGATATTAACAGGAACAGGGAATTTCTCCTAACAGCACATTTATTAATAATAATTGGAAGAGGCTGAGCATGGTGGCTCACACCTGTAATCCCATCACTTTGGGAGGCCAAGGCGGGTGGATCACCTGGTTGAAGTTT